AAACGCTTCACCCTAAATTGAGTCTGCATGTGCTAAATCAGAGATTGAAAACCCAATACTCCTGAAGATTATTTATGTCCGTGCGTAATGAAACAGCCTTGTCAACCAAATTTCCCTATTGATCTAACTGTATCCACTGGAATAAAACAGCTTGACCTACTTAAATATTGATTACGATACGGGATGGAAGGTTTCTGATAGTAAGAATGAGTTGCCGTAACAGTTTCCTTTTCTGCTCGGTTGGCACAGCCGATAAAATGAAACGAAGAGTATCCTGAGTTAGCTCACGCTATTATCAGATCTTATCAAGCTACTTTTCAAGTGATCTCAACAAAAAGGACAGACAGAATATGCAGTATGTCATTGATAAAAGTAGCTGAAAAGTTCCCTGTAAAATGTACAATGTATCTTTGGAAAAGGGTAAGAAACGAGGTACACATACACAGACAGCAAAGGAAAGTACTGTAAGTCTCTTTAGATTCGCGGGGCCTAAAGTTCGCGGTTTCGGGAAAATGGACAATCCGCGGTATTTTTAGATTCGCGATTTCCCCTTGGCTATTCAAAGAAGAACTTGTTAAGTGCATATTTAAAAATAAGAAAAGTTCGTGTCCCGGCATTTATCTCCTAAAATGCGGCGCAAAAATGTGTTTCGTGCTCCGCGCGAGCCGCTGCCTGCAGCTCTGTCGGTATGCAAATCTTGCATCACATGTCCGCGATACGCGTCTCTGATTGGTTGTTGCGACAGTGCCGGCGGTAAAGCTCGATCGATCTGACGCTTCTTTGCTCGGAAATAAACGCTAAAACGTTATTTTCCACGACTACACATCGGTGCTCAAGTGAAGAAATGCATAATCAAAAGAATCTTTAGGGAAAATATATATTCCTAAGCAAATTTATGCCGTCTTCGGCGAGATTTTGTCGTTCAAACCGAACCCGGAAGTATGCAAAGGTCGCCTTCGGTAGGCTCACGCTAGCGTTTCTATCGAGCAAAATCATAAGAAAAAAAAAACTCCCGCAAAAGAGAACCAAATAATATTTCCCAGATACCATCAGTTATATTTTTCATCAAAATATTTGTAGATTTGCCCGAAGTGCCCGCAATTTTCGGGCGCCCATGGCCAGCGCTAGCAAGATTTTTGTCGGGCGGTACGCGGCCAGTGCCACAGTATCGCGATTCGGTGTCTCTGATAATATTATTTTTGACGACATCAGTATGACTTAAATAATTTTGGTACTCAGCAAACTGTACGTACATTTGCTTAGAATAAAGTTGATTTGGAGTGGTTTGTGGATCGCGTGTGTTATAAGTTGTGTTAAATCGGTTAAACTTGAGGACCGTCGTGAACGCATGTAACAGTTAACACATTATTTTACACTTACGCAAAACATATTCGCGGGGAAATAGATTCGCGGTACAAAGGTCTCCGCGAATTCCGCGAATCTAAATATACCGCGGAAATTTGTAGACTTACAGTACATCAGTCTTGAAAAGAAAAAAAATGCTTTTAACAATTTTATGGGGCTGTGTAGTTGGAGATAATAATGTGAAGAAGAACATGAGGACCATGCAAGCTTCCAGGTGCATTTGACCCTAAAGCCCAGTACTAGGTCCTCTCTTACTATCATGAAGGTTCATCTGTGTTAGTGTAGTTACATGTTTAGTCAAAACTTTTGATCCAACACCAAAGTTTTAACTCTAAATTACTTCTTCCCTTGTTCGTCCCAGTACTACTAGTATGAAGTCATGGTTTAACAGAAACTTCTAATCCCACTTTAGGTCCATCTTTTTTTTCATGACATGGCATCTATGATTGATTAGCATGTAAAACTTACTAGTCTCCTGCTAATAACCAGGATTTAAGGGTGAGCACAGAACTGGTGATGTCTGTGGTGCTGAGAACATGGTTGTGATGCCAATATCAGCCCATTTTTTTCCTATGTCAGCTCTCGCTCAGGATTACCAGCAGGACTGCCTAGACAGAACCCTGTCAGAGGAAAGAATTTACTTCATTTTAAATCTCTGTCTATCCCTGATCCCCTCCTTCAGAAGACTGTTCCAAAGTTCAACAGCTGTTGGTACTATAGTTCTCCTATGATTGACAGTGTGGGAGACAGGGATCACCAGTGTTTTTGTACTGGGATTTCGACTGGCGTGTCACCCACCGCACCTCTTTATGTTTAGGGACAAGGCCATTTGGCAGGGCTGGTGCCTCTCTGTGGTGCATACGGTAAAAGAGAGTCAATGTGCCAACTATCCTGCGATGGTCCAAAGGTTGTTGGAAAGCTTCCATTGAATCAGCATATCTCAATTGAAATGAACGACCTACTTCTAAGAATTTACTTCCAAAACACCCAGGCAATAAAACCTGGTGGAACATTCTGCCAGCGAAGTCACGTAACAGTACACTTACGCACGTCATGGCAAATGGACTCTTTTTTCTTTCTCTTTTATGGCAGTCTGTGTTATGACTAGTTACATTTCTGCATAAAAAGTCCTAGGATTCTACACGTAATAGCTATGATATTACCTGGGTAGATGTTTAGCTACACCAAGGGTTGAGAAGTTATCATACATGACAAGTCAGATTTGTTTGAAGATGAATTGGATAACTGATTTCACTTATTTGAGGCGTACTTGTTGATGTACCATTATAAAAGAGCAAAGGCATAAATAACAGGCACAAGGACAACCAAGTGCACTAGCAGAGGGGGGCCAAAGGGCAATAAAATGTACCTAATCTGACAAACAGTAAAAAGTTTGTGTATGTAAGTGGTCACTCATGCGAGTTTGACAGTAATGAATATGAACAGCCGCTTGAAGGGTTGTCACTGCAAATTAAGATCAAACTTAAGAAGTAAAGCAGCCTTGCCTCTGCAAATCTCCCTTGAAAGAAGGACCTTTTAGTGTGTGACCAAGAGGGAGTCAAGTAGGCTCAAAGGTATAAGAGCCGGATCACACACACACAGTCTAGAAACAACTTCACCAAAGGGTTTTTTCTTCACATGGGCCATACAATTCAATGTCAATGTTTCTTTTAACCAAATATTGCATGTTGGTAGATATGAAATATGCTGCCAGCTTGTCTCTCATACTGCAGCAGCAGTAATGAGGGTGGCTCTGCCCGGGGTACCGTGACAATAACGCCGGCCTGACGTCTGATAAAAGAACTCCTGCACATTCAGTCAACATGCATTTACCGAATGTCTGATCAAGGTCGCATGGAGCCACCACAATCTGACAACCTGATGGATGCCCTAATCTGTTGAAATCCCATCTGATTGGCTCCCCTTTCAAAAGCATATGTCCTAATTTATCTAAGGGCCTTCTTGCAAGCATCCACATTAAACTGTCTGAAAACTATGACAGTGATGTAGTAATATGATAAGCTATGTATTCGTATCCTGACCCTGGTATTTGCCCTTAGCTTTTAGTAGCCTATATATCAGAGACATCGGAGACAGGGCACAAGTGAAAAACATTCTTTCAAGTCCTTTAATCCAGCATTTCAGCCAAAGGGTCTCCCTCTGGGTCTGGAACTCAGCAAGCCTGGGATCAAGTGAATTCAGACCTACAGGAAAGCCTTTCTAAGGGCTAGAATGTAAAATGACAGATAGAGTGATACAAAGTTTTGTATCACTCACTTTTAGATCCATGTTTGTATACCATAAAGCCTTGTATCAGCAACACTACAGAACACTTCAGCATGTAAGTTAATGTTTCATCTATTTTTACAGCTGTCCTGGTGGAAAAAAGTTTCAAATTTGAAGATAATTTAGATTAATTTGGTAGACATTGCCAAAAAACATGTCAATCCCAAAAAGAAGACACGCAATTTAGTGCATGTATATGCTTAACAATTGTCATTGTGTTTTACTCTCGTTTTATGTTTTTGAGTAGAAGGTGTCATATAACCAACTGTGCTTCTTACCTAATAATAAATACTTATTAAGTAGATTCTACAGTAGTTAGTAGGTTACCGCGTGTTTCATGAAAATTGAGCTTGACAAATGTAAAATGGCTCATTGTTTGAAGCAGTAGCTTTGGTCAATAAGCAACAAATGAGACTAGTAATTAGGACTCATGCCAGTCACAACTCATTGGGTTTTACCCATTTACTCTTAATTCATGTTAAGTCCAGTTTGTTACGTTTGGCTGCATTCCTGGAGGTAAATCATTAGGGTTAACTGTGCCTGACCTGATGTTCAAAGCCCTGCTAATTGCTCCATGTTTTAAAAAATATATCACAACATTCTAACGGCTGCTTCATCCCACATGCCGGGAAAACAAATTCTGCTCATAGCTCAAAGTTACTAAAAGTCCATTCTGCTATAATCCCTTATTCATTCCTCCCAAAACCCGTACCAAATGTGCATCTCCCAGGCTCTGGAGGCACTTTCCAATTGGAACATTTTTCATAGAGGAGGATTATAGCCAGGGCTCTGGTGGAAAGGACCGCTACACTATACTTTCATCTAAGCCTCCCAAACCAATTCCATCCGCATCTAGTCCCTGCCAGCAGTGCTGAGGATGAAACCTCCTGATACCTAGCAGTGAAAATGATATCTCTTCTTAATAGTTGCCTGTCAGCAGTCGGTCTGATCTGTCTTTTGACTGTGGTAACTCAGAGGAGCAAGAAAGATGGGTGTGGTTTGCAGAGCTTGGTAGGAGTTCAAAACTTTGAAGTCTGAAAAATGTGGATTACGCTCCCTAATATTCAGCCCCCACAAAAGGTGGCGGATTCTAACAGAAAGGTGCCCTGTGCTGCTTAGAACCCTCATTTAGATGGAAAAACCTGTGGCTTCTTCTTGAATGCAATCCAAGAAACTATTATATACAAGATACTAATCCTACTTTCTTCTATTCTGTGGAAAGTGGGCAGGGATTTTATGAGTCAGCTGTGTTTTGAGCAGAGTGCTTTGAGTGTGTCTTAAACCCTGAGTTTGTTCCATTAAGAAAATAGTAGACCCTGAGGCTGGAAATTAAAGCAACACGACTTTACCTTCTCCTCCTGTAGCTGTTCCCTCAGCTCTCCTACCTCCCTCTGGAAAACAAAAAACAAGCAGCAATGTCAGAATGGATGTATGATTTATGACAGCAACAGTGACACTCGACAGCATGTTGAAAAAGATACATCATCAAAGATTTTATCCAACATGGGCATCCTATAAGTAATATTCATTGGGTTAAGTATTTATTAAATGATTTATGTTCTATAATCAGATTCTTTATTGACACAACGAAAAAGTACAGGGACATTTGTATGGTCTTCTACAACTAAAGATCTAACAAAGCTAAATACATGTGTGGATAACGTCATCTTACGTACAGAGTATATGTATGCGATTAAAATAGAATAGTGACGAAAACAAACAACCTTGGGGTAAGATGAATAGATTATGTTATCCCTTAACCTGCCACTGTTCATATCTTTGATGAGATTTGAATAACATGATTATGTTTCCAGAAGTAAAGTTCAACAGGCAATTTGCTGCCCCCCCCCACCACTTAGCAGGGGTCACCTTCAAAAAAACAAGTAACGCCACCTGATGCCCAGAGAAAGTCTCTACATTTCCAACAGCCTTCGCTCTTCCGTGGGCATTATTCAGGGAGGTTAATAGGAGGAAGGCTGGGCGGAAGTGCAGCATGCATCAGTGTCGACTTGTTAATGCAACAAAGTCTTCCCTCAGTTAAACCTGCCTTAGCTTGAGGTTTGGTGGGCTCCAGACAAAGTCGTCCCCAAGTGTGCAATCAGAGGATTTCCAGTTCTAATTTCCTGAGAAATGACTGCACCACACAGACTTATCCCACCAACAAAGAATCGAAATCAGACGCCTAAAAAAAAACTGTACTAGTCTATGGATTTAATAAAGTGTCTTTTAGACAATAATTGAATTCTGAATTTGTCGAGGACATTCATTCTTTTTTTTTTCATTCCAGTCGATTATTCATGGACTATGAAGAATCTACACATCAAGAAGTGAGCTAAGTAACTACCTGAAATGATGTGACAACTCAGTTGGTAATGAACATATCAGTTACAGTAATAGACACAATGTTGTACAAGGAAATACATCACATGAGGTAAACGTGACAATAATTGCGCAGGCTGGCACCAAGATAGATGTAAATGTGCGTCCCTATCCATTTCACTCTATCCATATGCATCGGCACTCCCAAAATACAGCAGAGAGATGTCTAAAAGTTACATGAGAAAAAAAAAACCTTCTTTAAAACTTGCTAAACTTGATGTAAAATCTACATTGAAAGAAAGCTTTGAGAGACAGGGAGGCCTTATTTCGCAGCTGCTCTTCAATTTCTATGTATGAAAAATAAAAGAATTGTGCTGCATTGGTAATGGATTTTCATACTCCAAGTACATTTTGTACAACTGTAAATTCCCAAATAAAGTACGCATCCTGATTAAAGTACGCACCCCCGATTTGGGGCTGGTGGGAGACAAATATTCCCGTCTGTAACATAAAATGGAAAAACTCGAATAAAATACACGCCCCTTCTATGCATGGCTAGTGCCACTGTTAACATTCAAAAACTGTTCTGAAAGAGGTTCAGACAAGTCACCAGTCTACAGACTGAAAGTTTGTACTTTTAGATGGCAATCTAATTACATCGGTGCCAGGTAGTTCAGACCAAGCTGCAGAGGGAGCATGTCAATCATGTGGTGTTTGAAATGACACCTAGCCTGTATTTACCTTGTAAGTATTACTCTCCTGCCAGTCGAAAGGTTATGCCCATAACCTTGAGGTTCCCTCTGAAGGACGTATTGACCTTCCTGGCCCTTACATTGATCGCCGTTACAGGTGGGGTATTTGTTATAGAGAGTACCCAAGTTGCTTTGAGCAAAGTTGTAATTAGAATAACCTATAGACAGGAATCTTACTTACAGATTTTTCTGGTAGGCGGTGAGAGAATCCTTTTTAGCATTACCAAAACTTGTTACACAGTCATGTAGTTACAGTTAATGTGCATCTACCAGACTGAGTGTGGTGTGTGCAAAGTCATGCAGCTACCAGCTTTTTTTTTTAAGTGGCAATTTTTGATGATTTTTATTTTCCAAATCCCAAAATGTATTTTGTACATCACATCATGGGATAGAACTTATAAAAGTCTTAAAATGTTTCTGTGACAATGCTAAATATTAATGATATTGATCAACAATTAACGGACTAGCAGTAAACACCTGTCCAGAGGTATCAAATTTCACAGACACTGCCTCACAGCATGGCCTGATGGCCACTGGACTTCAAACACCTTATTTCCTTGCTTATTTATGGGAAATTAAGCCCGCTAAGTGGGCTTTAAGACTTAACAGCCCTGTAATCATTCCAGGCAAAAGATGTCTCAATGATTTACCACTAAGACCCACTTCCCCGCAAATTACTTTGACCTCTGACCTTTCAAGGTCATGAATCCTTTAGGCAATTACCGCGGCGGAGCCGGCCGCATCCATAAATGTTGATCAACTTTTCGGCGGGATCTATAACTCACGAGGCCCTCACTCTGTTCCGGTTCGCCGCACGAGCCGGTGTGAGTGAAATATTACGCTTTTGTTTCGCAGCCGAGATACGGTCCCAGAAGTACTTACTTTTTTACCTGAGATCAGTAGCATGGAGAGTGTTGATAAAACATAAAGACAGAAGATTTAATGGCGGGGCTGATGAAAAATGGACCACAAATGTATTCCCAGAGCATTGCAGGCATGAATCACCTTTGTCAGCACTGACCCGACAGGTCTATATTGTTACATTAAAAGTTGAGAAGGTGGAGATAACACCATGTAAAATGGCTGTGCCTCCATTAGGCTAAAATTGACTGTCAATGTGCATTGATTATAGCCTCCCACACCCCACCCCCTTTCTGGAAAAAAGGAACCTTAGTCTATGGGCAATGTATTCACCCTGGTAACCAGTTGTTACAGTTAGAGGTGTCTGCATGCCCTCAGTCAAACATGTAAAACAAGAAAACAAGAAGACATACCAATTTTAATGTTACACTCTAACTGTTATATGAAACTGCAAATGAATGACCACATCTCGCAAAGCAGAAAGGGCCAAACTTTCTTTTCTGTTCGCCCTTACATCTGATGACAACTGGTCATACATGATGTCCTCCGTATGACACACCTTATTACCCAATCTGAAAGAACCTGGCTGCAGTCTGACCTTGAGCATAATGGGCCCCTGGCCACGGTTGACATGGCTGGCTGCGACTTGAACCTATGATCTTCCAATTACCAGGCGAGTCCCTTATCACGTTTTTATGGAACTCAGTGATCAACGCAGGACTTTCATTGCCATTTTTTTCACCATGAAACTTCCATAAAAGGTAACGATGCTCAAATAAAAGGAAATATCAGTGAGGCACAGATGGAATATATCAGAATTATCTACATCTTTGCAATATATAGATTCGATGAAAAGAAGCAGATCATTACATGTAGATAACCAGTCAGCACCACGGACAGGTCTGTTAAGTTATGAATTAAATAAATGTAATGATGGAATATGCGTTATTATCAAAAGATATTTACAGGTTCTGATTTAAATGATGATTTATGTGACAACACGAAATTCAGTTGGTGAGCAAAAATGTGGTGGATTAATTAAAGTTTCTATCAGGCTTCATTTTTTATGCATTTGCACTGCGTTAACCAATAGTATCCGGAGTAATTAGCAGATAAGACACATTAGCTGTGTGCGCTGCCCCACCCAAACCACCAGATAGACATCTGTATTCCCGGCCCATTCCCCGGCAGCGCTTGTTTCTCTGTGCCATATCAGGGCTGCTGTAATGATAGGTGACGAATGTTGCCATTCCATGAAGCTGGAAGTTTTGCTCGGCTGGCCACAGAAATTGAAACGTTTCCCCCGAGGTTCCTCCCATGACTGATGGAATGCCGACGCAGTTTAATTAGACAGCTCCACCAACGGGTGCATCCAGAATTCGCTCGGTTAAAGGAACGCGGCAGACAGTAAAGTTATTACATAGTGTTGTGGCATGACACCGACCAAAGGGTACGAAGAGTTTGAATACTCCTGCAGCTCCATTGACTAAACATACTTGTTATTAAGAACTGGCCTGTGACTGGATGGCTACTAACAGTACAGCGCGCAGCAGTAAGTGACAGCGTAGCCCCAGGGTTCAGGATGACTGGAGACGCAGTTGAAACGCACGCCTACGGGCAAAATTACTTAAACATAGACAAGCCTGTTGAGTCCCCCTAAACCATCACTGAGCAACATGTGTTTTCATCGACTTGTGTATTGTTGCACAGAGCTCCTTTCTTTCAAGTCTTTCACTTCAAGATGTTTACGACAATTACATTGTATGACTTGCAGCATTCTACATGTATGTAGATTTCAAATGCAGAATAAGAGGAATGTAAAGATTTCTTTTCCAACAACAAAAAATAAAATCAAACATTTTTTTCATTACTTTATTTCATTTTCAATACTCCCTGCACATATAAACAAAACATTACTTATACAATGTAGTAGCATAATAGAAAGGAAAAGTAACTTTTCAAGGCAGAGAAGACAGGATGATTTCCACTTATTATGAATTTGAATTTCTTATTGTCTTTACACACTTTGCACTCAATGCTTGGCTACATGTAATAACTTTACACCATCAATCAGTCAGGGCCAGCGTGTACCAACATGTCAACAGTTATCATGCAGCTGGCCCATCCATGGTCACAGTGCACTAACCTCTAGGAGACAATATTAACTTTTCTGAAGCAACTTCTTGCTGGAGTTCAAGGCATGAGGAGCATATGAAAATGCTGTTATTTCCAGCATAAGGCCACTGAGTACCAACTTGGCAGCCCAATACCAAACCTATATATAGTACATCTTAAGATAGAGCTAAAGTTAGATAATTATCATACCACAGGTCTGGAATAAAGTGCGTTGTCTAAAGTTATGTCTAATGCACGTCTATTTGTCCTGAATCACCAAATAATTGCCTATCTTTGAAGTCTGCCAAAAGAGAATGTTAATGATCTTATTCATCATACTGTGT